TACAAAATTCAAAACTACCTATCTATTGTTGGGGACATGTCGTTTTACACGCTGCTGCGTTAATCCAAATCCGACCTACTGCATATCATGATTATTCCCCCTTACAACTAGTGCGTGGTAAAGAACCAAATATTTCCCATCTGCGTGTTTTCGGATGTGCAGTCTATGTTCCAATATCACCATCCAAGCGTACATCTATGGGCCCTCAACGAAAGCTAGGTATATACATTGGTTATGAAACTCCGTCAATTATAAAATACCTAGAGCCCATGACAGGGGATCGATTTACTGCTCGGTATGCTGATTACATATTCGATGAAGATCATTTCTCGATATTAGGGCGAGATAAACACCAAAAATTAAATGAATGTCGGGAAATATCGTGGTATGAAAAAGATCTTCAATATTTAGATCCACGAACTAGTCAGACTGAACTTGAAGTTCAGAAGATAATTAATTTGCAAAATTTGGCAAATAAGCTGCCAGACGCATTCACTGATCACAAAGGAGTGACCAAGTCCCATATTCCTACTGTAAATGCACCACAAAGAGTGGAAATCCCACAGGGACTGAGTATATCAAATGATGCTCCACTACGCCAGAAGCGTGGGAGACCGATTGGTGCGAAAGATAAGAATCTGCGGCAAACTAAATATAATAAAGAAAGTCAGTCACTCCCAAAACCTCCTGAAGAGGATCGTCCTGAAGGCAAAAGCCCCAGTAAAATTACACGTGTACTTGATAATCATCACATTGGGGTTGCGGAACAACCAAATCCAAATGTTATGGGAAATGATGAAGATTTGGTGGATATAAACATAGAAGTAGCTACAAATTTTGTGAATACCGGAAAAACATATAATAGAAATATAACAGTCGTCGACAACATATTTGCCTCCACGATTGTTCTTTCCATCTCCAATGATAATCTGGATCCAGAGCTTAAGTCAATAGCAGAGTGCCGGAAGCACTCAGACTGGGAGAGATGGAAAGAAGCAATAGAGGTAGAGCTCAGCTCGCTAAATAAAAGAAAAGTATTCGGACCTGTAGTCCGTACACCTGATGAAATTATCCATGTAGGATATAAATGGGTCTTTGTACGAAAAAGAAACGAGAATAATGAGGTGGTGAGATACAAAGCGAGATTAGTAGCTCAAGGGTTTACGCAGAGACCCAGCATTGATTTTAATGAAACATATTCTCCGGTTATGGATGATATTACGTTCCACTACTTAATATCAATGACAACAACAATAAATTTAGATATGCAGTTGATGGACGTCGTGACCGCATATTTATATGGGTCACTGGACGATAATATTTATATGAAAGTCCCTGATGGACTTAAAATCCCCGAATTGAGAGAAAACAAGAATCACAACATGTATAGCATTAAATTGCATAGGTCGTTATACGACTTGAAACAGTCGGGTAAAATATGGTATAATCGATTGAGTGAGTTCCTCCTGAAGAAGGGATATGCAAATAATGACGTCTGCACTTGTGTGTTTATAAAGAAATCCGAAAATGGCTTTTGTATCATCTCAGTCTATATTGATGATATAAATATTATTGGAACGCACAAGGAGCTTGCAGAAGCTAGCTCATGCCTAAAGACGAAGTTTGAAATGAAAGACTTGGGAAAAATTAAGTTTTGTCTCGGCCTGCAGATCGAGCATTTCCAGAAGAAAATTTTCTATACCAGTCGACCTACGTGAAAAAGTTTTGGAAAGATTTTATATGGATAAATCTCATCCACTTAGCACACCAATGGTCGTCTGGTCCCTTGAAGTGGATAAAGACCCATTTAGACCCAAAGAAGATAATGAAAAAGTGTTAGGGCCAGAAGTTCCCTATCTGAGTGCCATTGGAGCACTCCTCTATCTCGCAAATTACATCAGGCCTGATATTGCATTTGCGGTGAACTTGCTAGCAAGGTATAGTGCTTCTCCTACAAGGAGGCATTAGAATGGCGTTAAACATATCCTTCGCTATCTTCAAAGTACAAAAGATCTTGGACTATTCTATAAAAGAAACCAAGATATGACATTGGTGGGCTATTCGGATGCTGACTACATGTCTGATCCCCATAACGCCAGATCCCAGACTGGTTATGTCTTTCTCTGTGGTGGTACTGTCGTTTCTTGGAGGTCTGTTAAGCAGACCATGGTGACTACTTCTTCTTAACTACTCAGAGATTATCGCTTTATATGAGGCCTCACGAGAATGTGTATGGTTAAGATCGTTGATACGACACATTCGTGGCTCGTGTGGTCTAGCGAAAGACTATATTACCCCCACTATCCTTTATGAGGACAATGCAGCTTGTGTTGCACAAATGAGCAGTGGATATGTAAAAGGAACCATGACAAAACATATTGTGGCAAGTTTGGAGGATGAATTCCTCTGTGATCGGGTCCCGGCAATTCATCGCCTTGTTCCGGAACCTTTTGACGAAGGTGTCGACTAACTCCCCGTCTTTTTGCTTCTCATCGAGCAGCGATCCGATAGAGATCTCGGTGTCGTCGTCGAAGAAATTTGCAAGGAACTTCGTCTCCATGTCATCCCAGCTGTTCACGCTTCCTGGCTTGAGGCGGCGGTACCAATCGAAGGCGGCTCCGCGAAGAGTGCCGACGAATGACCGCACCATCAGAGGCTCATTGCCGGAAATAATACCCAGGTGCGATTTGAAATAAATCAAATGCTGAGTGGGGGAACCCTTCCCATCGAACGGCGTGAAGTTGATTAAACTGAACTTCGCCGGATAGGGGATCGATTCCCACTCTCTTGGGTATGGACAGGGAATGCCTGTTTTCTTCGTCTCTTGAGCGGAGATCAATGTGTTGATTTTGCTCTCGAGATCTTTGATCTTCAAGTCTTCACTTGTATCCTCGTTGGCATCCTCGTTACCACCCCCTGCATTGACGGGAGGGTTATTGGCATTGTGAGCTCCATCCCTATCCGTGTGCTCTTCTTCCTGAACAACCTGATTACGGTGACTTGGTTCACCTTGTTGGTTCCTGAACGCCTGGATTTGTTGCTCATGCATCTCTCTCATAGTCTGCATGGCCATCTGCATCTCAAACTTGAAACTTTCTTTCTGTTTAGCCAAAGCGTCTTCAAGCATCTTGGCCATTTCTTCCGCGCTTATCATAAATGACTCGCGGGGTTGTCCTTCGCTGGACACTGTATTGTCCGATGCGACAGCAGAGCAGGAATCCGATTCTTCATCTTCCGAAGGCAATCTTGTCCGAACCCTACCATAAGTTCCTCGTGCGATGGCTCCGGACTGCAGACGGGTTACACGCCGGGACGCTTCCAGAAACGATTTGAGATCAATCTGTGTCGATGTCTCTTTGCTGGTCATGTTGGCGGTGACCCTCGGAAATTCTCCGTCTTTAACCACCGTTCTTCTTTGCCGGAAACGCCTACACCTTGGTTTTGGCGTTTCGGTGCCGAGTCTTTCGAACACTGAAATTCTCTCGGGGATTACCTTGATGCAGTTGCATTGAGACAGTACCGCCCGAATGAGCTTTGAACAAGGGCACTGAGTTTCCTGTTCTCGGGGACTCCTCTTTCTGGTTCTGTTCGTACCCCCAGCACGATAGTACAACTCGTCATTTTGACAGTCGGAGTAACCTATCGTGTGTGGGCACGACTTCTCAGGTATAACATTATCACTATCAGATGATAATGTTTCCATCTGAGGGCGAATTGCCTTCCTTGGACTTTCAAGAGTCACGCGCCTTGAGACATGCCTTTTCGGGTGTGAATTCTCAGCGGGCTCTTGGACCTCAATGCGCAAATTAGCGCGCGCAGTTGCCTTGATCTCCTTGTCATGTTGGAGGTAGCGGTGACCCCCAGCGTGTTGATTCGTTCGGGGTTTTCTTAGTGGGCCCGCACAAATGAGCAGTGGATATGTAAAAGGAACCATGACAAAACATATTGCGCCAAAATTCTTTTATCCATATGAGCTCCAAAAGAATGGAGAAATCACCATCGAAAATGTTCGCTCAAGTGACAATCTTGCAGATTTGTTCACCAAATCTCTACCTACATCAACTTTTGAGAAATATATTCACAATATTGGTATGCGCAGACTTGGAAGACTATCATATTCAGGGGAGCAAATTCTTAAAGAACAATCCTGAAGATTGGGCCCTGAAGGTCTTTCGTTATATTTTTTTCCTTTTGCTAAGTTTTGTCCCACTGGGTTTTTCTTAGCATATACTCAGAAGATTGTCATCATCAGGGGGAGCAAACTTTCAAGACAATCCCGAAGATTGGGTCTTGAAAGTCTATAGTTGTACTCTTTTTCCATTTGCTAAGTTTTGTCCCACAAGGTTTTCTTAGCCAAATGTTTTTAATGAGGCAACTAATGCAACACAAGAATCTACTTATGTTGTATACTCTTTTCCTCGACTAGTTTTTCTCCCACTGGTTTTTTCTAGCGAGTTTTTTTACGAGGCATTGACATCTCGAAGTAATGTCCAAGGGGGAGTGTTGAAATCTAAAAGATAAAATATATGTGGACATTACTTTGTACGTGGACTATTAAATTTGTGTCTTTTCATTAGTCCAATGTCCTTTTATCTTCCATCATTTATCTATAAATTGTATCATGCATGAAAATAGAAGTGGATGAATAAAATTACAATTTCTCTTCTTCTCTTGTCACTTGTCACTTGTTTCATTTCTTTAGTATATTACAACACTTTTACTTTTTTTGAGTTTTTTGAGTTTTTTTATTAATCCCCCATATTTTTCATATTTTATTAGGCCCCAAAATCTTTGTGTGTTGAGATTAGCCTCGGAAATCTTGAAGTGTTTTAAAATTAGCCTTCAAAATCTTTATATTTTGAAATTAGCCTCCCAAATATATTAAATATTTTGAAATTATTTCCCCAAATCTTGTAACCTGTTGCTAACAAGAGGGACTAATTTCGAAACGCTTAAAGACTAGAGGGTCTGGTTCAAAGAAATATTGATTTGGAGAACTAAGGTTGAAATAAGAAAGAGGGGACTAATATCGGGAAACCCCTACTTTTTCCCTATCAAAAAATTGGGAGCTAAGTTCCCTTTTCGATTTCTAAATCAGTAATCACTTTATCAATCTTGTTCATAGGAGATCGCATCCCTTTTGGGCTTCTTAGATTTCATCGATTCCAGTCCTTTTTGGGTAAGTTTTCCTTCTTTGTTTCAAGCGTTTTTATGAAATATTCATCGTTTAATTTTTGAAATTTGTATATGTTTGTGTTGGATTCAAAGAATCTGAAGATGGGTTTGTTGGAATTTGTTAGATGATGCATAATTAAGATGCCTCAGTTAGAAATTAGGTAAATAGCAATTGAAATTGATGCAGATTTGGGAGTTTATAGTATAGGGAACTGATTGTATGATTATGCCCTAGAAATTTAGTTCCTTGACTTTTGGTCTGATGAGAGCTTATAATGTCGAAAATAAGTTGATTTTGGGGTTTAGTACAGTTTGTGTAAATGTTAATTGAAATATTGTGAAGAGTTTGGAGTGTAGAGAAGAGGCATTGTTGATCTGACTTTAATATATATTGTGATTGTGATTGGCAGCTAATGATTCTCTGGAATTGGGATCAATATATTTGAGCAGGAACACCGTAAGTATCATATTCTTAGAGTAGAGCAAAAAGGCCATGTCAAAAAGTAGTGAACCTGATATTTGCCGTGCTTGGGGAGTAATTGTTGTATGGAAGCGGAATCCATATATTTGAGTAGGAATTAGTAAGGATCTATGTTGCATGGATATGGGTACGGGTATTGGTACGGGTACAAGACATGACAAATTTAGAAAATGTAGGGTACAGGGACACGACTATATAAATAATTATATACACATATTATTTTATGGAGTTAATAATTTATATGAGAACAAGGATAAGAATTAAAACTCCTATAACATTTTTATGTTTCTTTTATTATATGGATTATAAATTGGAAAACCACTAGTTTTTGAACTAGACATCCGACACCCTTAAAAATCATAATTCGGAATCTGACCTATGTCAAATGAGTTCCAAGAGGTGGATGTGAAGTGTAGGATGCATGTCCAAAAAATGTATGACAAGTGTTTTAAATTACAATATGTATGGTATAATTGAGTATATATACGCGACTAAATGTATGCATATTGTATATATACAATGAGTGTCCAAGGAGTTTGGTCACAGGCACAGGTACGAGCACAAGTACGTGTTGTATACATGCATGACTTCATATTAGAAGTATCTAGGTCACATAGGTAAGGATCATAGTTCATAGAAAGACTATATTGACCTACGTTGATTGCTTAGAACTTAAGAAAGTGTAATAATAAATTAATGCAGTAGTGAGTTAGTAAAAGGGCATTTTTCTTCATCAAATGGGCTCAAATCTATCTGGAATTGCTTGCTCTTAAAGTGTTTTAAAATTTATGTGAGAGAAGGATGCAACTAGACTTTTATAATAAATAAATGCAGTATACTAATTGATTGTGTGAGAATATACTGATGGGTTTAAATAGTAAGACTAAGGAGCCAAGTGCAACAATGATTAACCATTTTTTGCAATGGATTGAGCTAATAACGTGTTACACTCAGTGGGTCCTAGGGTTTACATCGCGCAAACGGGCTCGTAAGCCCGAGACATGATATTTGTGCTTTTGCATCTTGCAAGCTACTATCAAGTTACTATCAAACTTCAGCTGGGTTTACATGACCTATATAAACCTTTTAGTAAGATGTCGTAAATTATCAGCTAGCACATAGTTAGACAATCCTTGCGTGCATAAACTTTTCTCTTCTTTATCAAGCTTAGTTAGTAGATGCAAAAGCCACACTACTCTTCCCTCGGATTGTTCCTCTCAGTACTTTCCGATCATTTACTCACTTTTTAAAGTACCTTTATCATAAAAAATATTGAGCTTTCATTATGCCAGAACTTTCAAGTTATTTCTAGTAGTTCGCCTTGGATTAGCCTGAATTATCTAGCTAATCATAGAGTTTCCTCTTTAAACTGATGTTGAGATTTTACTTCTCAGCACCTGGATTTAGAAGCCGTAAATGATCTTTGCTTAATTTTATAGAATTTTGAAGCTTATGTCAGTCTTTGTTCTATATATGAAAGAATGCTTTCTTGGGTCTCATCTCTGTGAATCCGTAGTGAATCCTTTTGGATGCTTTATAAGATATCCTTGATCCTTGAGAGATTTATTAAGTATTAATTAAAAAATGTCTTGTTCTAAATATAACGTCTGATTACTCTAGGAGAGGTAGGATCTTTGTAGAGATTGTGGCTCATCCTCCTTCAAATTATTCTTTGAAGGTCATGTTTTGGCCTTTCTTGAGACACCCCTCACGCACCCATCCACTCATATAGGAAGACAAAGATACCATGATCAAAACAATCTATGAGATGAGGTGCATGATGCTAAAGAGATTTCTTAAACTTTATTAGCTTGATTACTTTTTTAATCGAAGTAATTCTTAAGCTATCTGTAGTCTCTTATCTCTCAAAATTAAGACATTAATAGTCTTTGTACAACTTAACATGAATCTTTATCCGAATATATGTGGAATGTATATCATAGAAGGGGATTTGTAGGCTCTTGTCTAACTGTTCTCTGACGCAGTACGTTAGTGCAAATACTAGTAGATTCTCTCTCAGGGGCTAATTAAAATAGTTCAATTTTCATTAAATCTGAGTATCAGCTCTTTGAGCAAACCTTTACGCCCATTTCCTAATAATTCCATGTTGCTCTGGACCATCAAATGAGCTCTCATGTTGGTGCAACTAAAATGTCTGATAGTATAACAAGTTTACTTTATTGATTTTGTTTTTGCTAACACCTTGGTATACTTTTCTCGGTTGAGCATCAGACTCTTATCAATCACTGAACATTTCAATATGAGTTCTTAGTTTCCATAAGGTGGACCTAGGGGAGAGCAAACTGTCGGTTCGCTTGGTTTTAAGCATTTTCAATCAAACGTAATTGATCCGAACTAGAAAAGAGATAGGTGATTAGATTTGAGTTTGATGTGGTAACTACCCTTGACCGCGAGAGAAGAGAGGGCGCTATGGCTTTGGTTGCCGTTGCCCTTTGCAAGTTTTGGATATTTATAAGAGAAGAGCACAAAGATGACCTAATCCTCTCTGCCCC